CAAGTGCGAGGCCAAAGCCCAGGCCGGCCCAGAGACGCCTGCCCTGCACGCCCGGGCGGGATACGCGCCACGGCGCCCTGGCCGGGGCGGGGCGGGCGGAGCTTGAGGCACATTGGCGGCCCGGCTCACGAGGGTTGCGAGGGTCTGTACCCCCACAGGCGACTCGGGCAGCACCCCCTTTCCATCGCTAAATGGGGCGCCCCACCCCGCAGGAGCGGGGCTCAGGGCTGTCTGCTCAGGCGCCACGCGCAGCCATCGGAGAGGGGAGCAGAGGGGCGTTTCACCCTCCCTGCGCTGTGTTCCTGGCCCTACCTCCGCTGTCCTGGCTCCAGAGCTTCACCATGCAGTCGTGCGAGGACGTGGCGATGGCTGGGGCCAGGCCCATCGCTAAATGGGGCGCCCCACCCCGCAGGAGCGGGGCTCAGGGCTGTCTGCTCAGGCGCCACGCGCAGCCATCGGAGAGGGGAGCAGAGGGGCGTTTCACCCTCCCTGCGCTGTGTTCCTGGCCCTACCTCCGCTGTCCTGGCTCCAGAGCTTCACCATGCAGTCGTGCGAGGACGTGGCGATGGCTGGGGCCAGGCCCAGGCCCTTGGGAAGGAAGATGCAGGAGGCAGCGGTTTGGAAATGCCCCTTGTACTCCCGCATGCGGCTCCTCGTCTGCCGGAGGTCCCACAGCTGCGAGGGGCGGACACAGCGCTCTGCCAATTGCTTTCCTGCCGCCCCCCGTCCGGCTGCCCCCAAAACGCAGCCCTGCAGCCACGGCCCTGGGCCCGAGCCAGACGGGGGCTCGTCTCCCGCTGCTCTGCTCCAGGACGCCCGTCGCCTCCGCCTGGCTTCCCTCCCACTGCCCTGGCTTTGCTCCCCTAGCGGGGGCGGGCACATCCCACCCTCCAGAGCCGCAGGGGTATCGCCATGCAATGCCCGGGGGGGCGGGTTGTATTTAAATGCAGAGTCAAAGCCGAGCAGACTGAACGCCACAGGCACGTGGCTGCTGGCTGAGGCAGGGCTCAGGGTTTGGTCCCAGAGGTCCCGTTGGAGCACGGCCCCCGGCTGGCCTCAGCCCTGCGAGCCCCGTACGGCCCTGGGCGACGCGCGCAGTCACCGTGGCCGGAAGTTACATCGCACACGCCCCGGGGCGGAGAGCGCGCCTGGGCGCCCGTGCCAGAGCCCTCGCTGCCTCTCGGGGTACGTCTACGCGGCACTCCCAAATCTGCGCTACTCGCGTCTCTGCTTTCGATATAGCGCAGCTCCGAGCCCTCCCTCAGTCCCCCTGCTGCGAGGTTTACGGGATGGCGAAATAGCGCGTCCGTTATTTCGAGAAATATTCAAAGTAAGGGGCGCGCCCCTGGGACGCGGGGTACCCGTGGTACCCGAAACGGGCCTGCAGTGTAGACGTCCCTCAGAGGTGCAGGGAGCGAGCCCCAGCGGGCTAACGCCAGCCCAGCGCGCAGGCTGCAGGGGACTCTCGGAGCACGAGCCAGGCCCGTGGGGAACGTCGGCAGGGACTGGAACAAGCAGCCATTTGCTGCCCAGCCGGGAAACTCACTGTGGCTTCTCAGCCCTCCCCCCCAAATCCCTCCTGGCTCACGTCACAGTAGGTCTGGACATGCTGCTTCCCCGGGAACGTGTGGGCCACCCGCAGCTCCCGGCTGTCCCACAGCCTGGCACGGAGGAGAAAGCAAAGCAGAGTGAGCCAGGCCTTGCCCCCGGGCCCTCGGGCCGGCGCAGAACCGACAGCAGAGGAGCCGGCCCATGGCAATTCGCACACCCCAGCCAGGCCCCTGCTCCTCCACCTCCCAGCTGAGTGAGCTCCGGGACTCAGCCCAGGCCTGCCGCCCCCCGGCCCTGCTGGGGCTCCACACATGGGAGCTGCGGGGCTCCTTACGTC